TTTATATAGCTGAAAATCGACCGTATTTTTTTAACGAAAATCATACTTTTGACTTTGACAGGTCGCCATTTTGTCAAATTTTTTTTTTTTTTTAAATCCTTCGATCACGAACTAGATAATCTTATAATAAATGTAAATCAATTTCATTTTTGTATTTCAGACGAAGTATACTTGCAGAATGCTGGTCACCGCAATTCGCCTTTTTTCTTAAGACGCCACTTCAATGGCTCATATCTCCAAAAGTTTTTGTTAAAAAAATTTTTTTTTTCTTTTAAATTACAGCTTTTTACATGTACTTTTAACTAATAAATAGTATTCTTTAAAAAGATTCATTGTTCTTTTGGAAAATATTCTTGAAAAAAGCATTATTTTTTGAGTTACAACTGGTGTTCCCCCCTTAAGAAATAAGGACAATGTAAATGTGCCAACATTAGATAATGAGAAATCATCTAAACCAGAAGTTCCTTCAAAAAGGCAAAAGAAAAATATAGAATCCGCCATTAATGATAAAGATTTTCAAGAAATTGATGAATTGTTAGGAAAATTTATTTTTGGCTGTAACATACCATTTGTAGTTGTTGAATCAGTGCACTTTCAAAAGTTCGTCAGTGGATTAAATCCAAATTACAAACTTCCTTCTAGGTCTACTTTAAGTGGATCAATTTTGAATAAAGTGCATTCAAATTTAATTCAAGAAAATGCAAAATTAATTGATAAACATAGCGTTTTATTGATAGACGGATGGAAAAATAAAAGTTCAAATGAAAAATATGTTGTAAGTATGATTCACAATGCAAATGGTGAAAGAATATTTTTAAATTCTAAAGATTACACTGAAAAAAGTGAAACGGCTTTGGCTTTAGAAGATACAGTGGGCAATGCAATTATTGAGGCTAGAGAAAATTATAGAACTGAAGTTTTTGCAGTAGTTTCTGATAATGTTTCCAGCATGGTTTCGATGGGTAAGAAGATTGATAGTTGGCATTCAACTTGTAACAGTCATAGTGGAAACTTACTGGCAAATTCTTTAGTCAATTCTTTCACTGATTGTAAGAAAATAATCACTGTTTTAAAAGAATTTAAGTCACCATTTTTAGAAAGACAACTTGTAAAAAAAGGAGGAATAAAAATTTGTTTGCCTGGTGATACTAGATGGTGCAGTTATCGAAACAGCTTTAGATGTTACATGCGAAATCTGGAACTAATGCGAGAAGAGGTGAACAAAAACGTTTCTCAAGTTACTGATGAGGTTGCCGCTATTATTCGTGATAGAAATATTGAAGATCAAGTAACACACTTCACAATCGTTCTAGATTCAATATGTGAATTAATTAATAAATTTCAAAGTGATAAATGCAATATAGCTGATGCAGTGGAAGAATGGTTAAAATTACAATTCCCAATTCATAATGATAATTATGAAAAACTTCTTGAGGCCCGCCTTAAAAAAGTTGTGAAACCAATAGCTTTAGCAGCAAATATTTTGCATCCGAGATACAAAGGAAAGATTTTCGAAAACGATCGTACATATAATGAAATGGCGGAGACTTTTCTAATTGAAAATTTGGATTTAAGTGGACAAGAAAATTTAAATGTTTATCTGAAAGAAGAGGGTATTTTTAAAACTCTAAAGGACAAAGGAATTGAAGATCCAATCATTTTTTGGTCCTTTGCAGAAACAAGTTATCAGAGTTTATCTGGATTAGCTAAAAAATTATTTAAAATACCGAGTTCTACACCTGCAATCGAGAGATTGTTTTCTCAATGGAAGCATGTCCACAGTAAAATAAGAAACCGATTAACCATAGAAACGTCAACAAAACTGATTTACGTTTATTATACTTTACGAATAAGAGATTCTAATCTTGAAAGCGACGAATATTAATAACTTTTGTTTATAATAAGTTGAAATTCTACAAACAAGGATCACAGTGGCATTTTCACTTAAAAATAGAGGAAAAGGGGGATTTTTCAAAACAAAAAGAGAATTTTTTTAAGGGGAATTTTGAAAAGAAAGCAGCAAAAAAGTAGCTTTTAGAGTGAAAAAGTAATAAAAAAAAGTAGTTATCGAAAAATTAAATTTGACTAAAAAAACTACTTTCAGATAATTCACAAAAATTTGATTCTGTATTTTATTTCCTTGACTTTATCCTAATTTTCATCAAAAATATTTACTTTTCTTCCTAATCTGCTAATAATTTCAATTCTAAATTCTGGCAAAAATCAACTATTTTCTAAATTGGAATTTAAAATTCTTTAAGAATACAATTATATATTTAAAAATAATTTTTTAAAATAAACAAATAAAATTCTTTAAAATATTAAATAATTTCAATTCCATTTGACAAAATTTCCAAATAATTGGAAATTGAAATAAATTTTTTAAAATTATTTACAAGAATTTAAGTATCTTTAAAAAATTTAAATTATTTATCAAGATTAATTTTTTCAAAAAATTTCTAAATTAAATTACATTCAAAAGTTAAATTATTTTTGTTAAATAAATATTTGAATATTTATTTTTTCACAGTAATAAAACAATTTTAAATGATTTTAATGTAAAACATTTTTGAAATTTAATTATTACTAAAAATGAAAACTGTAATTCTTCAAAAATTCAATCATTTCTTTGTTGAAATTTTTAAAACAAAATTATTCGAAACATAATCTATTTTTTATAACAATAATAAATTGATAATTTTTAAAAATAAAATTTTTAATAATTTTTAATATTATTACAGTTTTGCAACAAATAATATTTTCAATGATTTCGATTTAAAAATCTTTTAAAATTTAATTCTTTCCAAAAATGCATACTATAACGCTTCTAATATTAAAATAAATAAAATTTTAACTGAAATTCATTTTTAAATTAAATTCTTAATAGAAGATTTATGTAAATTCAATTATTTACATACAAAAATAAATAAATGATTGTATGTCTTTTAAAGTTAAATTCTTATAAAGAATTTCATCATAAATTTCTAAAATTATTATATTCTTTAAAAAAATTTTAATAAAACTTTTAATTTTTTTAATTCATTTAAAATTGTATATTTTAAAAATTGAAATCCTGCGATGAATGAATTTTTAAAAAATTTTTAAAAATAATTGAATTCCTGAAAAGAAATTTATTATTTATGAAAATAATTGAATTCTTGGGATGAAAAATAATTTTTAAGTAATTGATTTTTTTGGAAAAATTATATGAAAATTGTATGAAACTTGCTTAAAAACACTTATTAAAAAAATAAATTACAATTTTTACGTTTACAAAAAAATTACATTTCCTGAAAAGAAGGAAAAGGGGAGAAAATTCCTGAAAAAGGGGGAAAGGGGAAAATTTTTATTTAAGGGGAAAAAGGGGATGAACTGTGATCCCTGTAAAAATTGTAATTGTTTGAACATAAAATTTTAATATAGAATTCACCTATTTGAAAAATCTTTTAAGTAATCATTTTTTGTATACTGAAATAAAAAAACCACTTTATTGTTTTATTAATATTTAATTATCCTTAATTCTGTTTTGAAAAATTTTTAATTTTAAAAAATTCGTTTTACAAGAAAATTTATTAATTTAATAACCAATGAATAAATAAATAACTTAAATTTACAAAACATATTTTTATTTTCATAAATACTGTTTACAACAGTAACTTAAAAATAAAGTTAATCTTTGTTGATTTACATTGAGATCATGATGAAGCTAAATTAACGAATGTTAAACACGTATAAAAAACTTATTTTTAATAAACACTTATTCTTATATTTAAAATATTATTTTGTACATGTTAAGATAGTATTGCTACCAAAAACATTGGTTTATATTTATGTAAAATCGTTTTTAAAAGCGATTGGTTTGCATCGAATCTCGAAATCTTAATTCGTAATACAAATTAACATGTTTCATCAATTGTTCATTAGAAGTATATTTTCCTTTAACGAAGTGACATTTTAAATCAACAGCTGATGCTGGAATACTTATTATTTTCTTTGCCATTTTTGCTAACTCGGGATAATCCATTTCAACTAAATTCCAGAAAGTTTGAGAAGAATTAATCTTTTTTTCAAATATTTTGGAAAACGCTCCCTTTTTTTCTTTATAAAAAATCAATTGATTTAAACCGTTCTCGTCTAAATTATCTATTAAAAATCCATTTATTTCTTGCATTTGTGCTACAGTCAAATTTTGACCTCTGTATTTATGACTTAAAAAGTTCGCTGTTAGAGCAAGAGGCTTAAATATATCTTCCTCAAATACACCAAGACTTACTAGAAGATTATTATCCGAAGTACTGGTAAATAAAATTCTCCATTCTTCTATGGCATCTCCTATAAAGCAGTCATTTTTCTCAAACTTTTTAATCAATTGTACTATTATTTCAAGTGTATTTATGCGATTATTGACTTCTATTTCAAAAGAGTCGTCTATTAAAAGCGAAGTAATTTCTTGCGGAAATTTAAATTTACTGACAATGAATAGGTGTTTTAATTTGTCTAAATACTTCGCATAAAATAAATACACATTATAGTGAGCCATCCATTTTTTTAAACTTTGTTCTATAATTTCTTTTTCATCAAATTTAAGTAAGAGTTGCAAGTTTTTATTTCGTTTGCACTCTACTACAATCGAATTTGCCTTTTCATAAACTTCATCGCTCAAAAGAGAATCAGCAACAAAATGAGCGTGTTCTACATTACATAACGAAAACAACACATTGCAATTAATGTTTAAACAAATTGTAGATTCTTTCGAGACAATTGCATAAACATCTAAATTATAAACATTTCTTGCTTCATTAAGAGAAGTCAATACATTTTCATTTAATTCACGATCATATTCTTCTCCAAGTCTGGCTGTTTGCATTAAAGATGACCTGAGAAATGCAATTTCAAAATTCCAGTGGCGAATTAAAGTTATAACACATTTAGAATGATCTTCATTTACAATCAGGATATACAATATTCCAGGACTATTGTTAAAATCTTTTTTTTGTTTTTCGAAATTTTCGTAACATTTATTTAAGTGTCGTCGATATTTCCTCGCATGTAGGCGAAACGTAACCAGGACGCAGTAACTTAATGCAGTGCTTAAAATAATCTGAATCAGCGACTTTTGGATCCACATTACATCCAAAAAAAAGGTTTGCAAATGCTTCGTTTAATTCAATTTTTTCTTTTTCACTTACCACATCCAGGAAAGATTTTATGCGTGGTTGATATTGACGTGGCTGTTTCATTTTTGAAATGGAACTATTGCAATTTTTATTGCATTCAATTATCTGAAGATAAATAAGTTTTATAATTACTTGAACAGACACTAATGAACATTATTATATAAACGAACTAAAAAAGTTGCAAGCAAACTCTCTAAATATAAATAAGTGAAACTTAACTTATTAAAAGTTATGTCGCTTTCTTGTTCAATAAGTGTAAATGCACTTCAAGTAAGTGACTTTTTCTCTTATTTCGAGTGAAATTTCACTTATTGAAAATGCATATATACTTATTGAACGAGAAAGCGAATTATAACTTTTAATAAGTGGAATTTCACTTATAAAGATTTAGTGAGTACAGAAACGAATTTGAATTTTTAAAATAAAATTTAATATAATAAAAAAAAAGGTTTGTAAAAAAGCAAAACTTACAGAATTATTGTTTTCCATTTCAATATCAATTGTCTCAATCGCTGATAGCTGACTTTCGCTTAAACTCATTTTAGATGTTTCCAAACAGACATTTTGATTATTTCTATCATTTAGATCTTCGTTTACAGTGTCCAACAAGATACATGTTCTTCTAAAAGTGGAATAAAACTTTTTTAATAACAAATAATTTACAATTACATTAATAATTTGAAATTGCTTCAAAGTATAAAAAGTGCTTATTACCTGTGACTTTTTAACCTGTCAATTGCTGTATTTTGCAAGATCTTGTTGCATATAGCACATAAAGCAACATTTTTCCCATTGACATCATTTTTGGGAAAGAAACACAATTCATCCCAAGCATTATGCTTTGGTCGACCACCTTTTCTACTCATATTTTTATTAAAAAATGTTTCACAACAATCACTAAGTCATTTGCTATTTACATTTATGCAGATACATAACCTATAAATCTGACCAGAACACCGGTCTGCCCAGAACAGTTCGAATCTCGATTATATTTTACATTTTCAAAACATCATAAATTTTAACAAATTTTTTGACATTGATTAATAAATTGTTAAGTAGGCATTACTACAAAATGTTAGGAAATATATTATTAAAATAACATGTTTCTATTTAAAAAATTTTAAAATCCCGCGCGTCACGCAATCAATGTATAATACATAACGTACGTAGAAAACAGAAGAAGTATAATACTATGTATTATACGTGTAGAAAACTATGTATAATACATCATGTATTATACGTGCCCATCTCTGTCTATATTGCCATAAGTGTGAGTGTTATTTTCAAAAAAGTGTAAATATATTTTTATTAAAAACGCGTTTTTCGTTGTTCTGAATCATTATAAACATTAATTTTTTGGTGATAAAAAAATATTTGATTTTTGGACTTAGAAAATTTTGTTAATCGATCATGAGGGCGATCCATGCGGGGCCCCTACGTTGCCCCTCATGGATTCGCCATATGGATCAGCCCTCATGGGCCCCCGCCGGGGGCCCCGAACTCTTGAGGGCAAGATCGTGGCTTTTTCCACACGGGAATTGTTTATAATTTTAAAAAAATATCAGATAAAATTACCAAAAATTTTTAATTCAAAATCATAAATCAATTCAATATCAAATAAAATTCAATTATTTTTAAAAATTTTAATTTAAAATTAATTATTATCAAAATTTTCAATAAAAAATCAATTAAAATTAAATTATTATACAAAATTTTCAATAAAAAATCAATTAAAATTAAATTATTATCCAAAATTTCAATTAAAATTCAATTATTTCCCAAAATAATTGGAAAAATTCAATTATTTTCAAAATTTTAAATTCAAAATCAACTAAAATTGAATTTTTTTTAAAATTTTTAATTTAAAATCAAATATAATTCAATTATTTTTAAAAATTTCAATTCAAAATTAATTATGTATTATCAAAATTTTAAATTTAATTGACCAAATTTCAATCTTAATTTTCATTAGTCAAAACATTTGTTGACTGAAACTGTAAGTTATTTCTAAGTTTAATGTATTGAACATTTTACACGATCTAAATAATTAAATTTTATTTTAATCAAACTTAAATTCATACTATCAAGTTTACATTTAGTAAACTAAAAAAATAAATATGTGTCGAATTAACAAAAAATTAATATATTTGACTTTATAACATGATAATTAAGTCAATAAATGATGTATTCCACGCCAAAATGAAAGTCCATGTGCAATTATATCTCTAATTTTTTTGAGATTTATTTTCCTTTTAGTACTAATTGAGACCAGCTTTCATGAATTTTTTCAAATTTTTTTTAGCAAGCCGTTGTTGAGTTATGGAATTTTGAAAATTAGAGTTTTTAAATGTGTGTTTTTAAACGTACTTTTCAAAAAAAAGTCGAGAATTTTTTAAAAATTATATTACTATTAAATTTTGAACTTTTTAATGATAAAATGTCATTTTTCTCATTTGACGTACTGATCGATTTTTTCAAAATTTTTTTCAAAAAAAGTACTTTTTTTACGAAACTTTTAAGCCTAGGCCGGTAATGGAAAAAACTATTTTTACAATATTTTCGGAATTTTTCAAAATTTTTTGAATTTTGAATTTTTTGAAAATATTTTTGGTTTTTTTCTATACTACTAGGGGTTGTCCAGCGGTCAGAAAAGTCATGGAAAAGTCAGGGAAATATTTTAGTCACTGAAAAGTAAGAGAGTTTAATTAAAAGTCAGGGAACTTTTTAATAATTTTGCTAAAAATGAACAATTTTATGAATTTTTCAAATTTTTTGGTGCAAGAAAAAATTTATAATGCTAATAAATGAAATATTTTAAATTTCTGAAAAATACTTTAAATATTTGCACGTCTCGGATTATACGACTTTTTCGACTATTTCCGACTTCTTTCGACTTATTTTAATAAAATGCGACTTTTTCGAATTTTCTTTTCATTTTTTTTTACAAAATTTTTAAACAAAATACGTTTTTTTAGTATAAAATCTTAGTATAAGATCTTCTTTATTTATTTCTTTCTTTATTTCCTCGCTCGCTCGATTATAGTTGTACTTATTGTTGTTTACTTATTGTAGTTTATGTATATTATATATATAATTTATGTTTTAAATTAATATATTATTCATATTGTATAAAATTTATCTTAATTTTGATCAGTATCATTGAAGGATGAAATGACAATTGTTAAATATTTTTTTTTTATTATAATTATAACAACAATATTAATTATATTATATTATAATATACCTATTATATTATAATATATTTTTTTAATCTTATATTATATTATATTATATTGCTGTAAATTGACCCACAAACACATGGAGATTTTGCAAATTTTTGAGAAAAATGTTCATAATAAATCGAAAAACCTTTTAAAATATCGGTTTTTATTTTTCTTATCCAAAGTAAACCTTTATAAAGAGGTTCTTGTTTGAATTTACATATATTACTAGTTGTCCGGAATCAAGTGCACCAAAAAAGGTTCCTTTTGGAAGACGTCAACTATACCTACAAAATTAAACTAAATACTCTCCAACAGTTTTATAAAGAATTTTCTACATAATGTGCAACAATGTTTAAAAGAATTTTTAAATTTTTATTTTTTTGGCACAATTACAATATGACAGATGATTGTAGTCAATGTAAAAGTTTTAATTGTGCTATGCGATACAGGATGCAGGTGTCCATCTAAGTTTTGAGAATAATTTCAATTCTATGAAAAGTCTAAAAAATGATAAAATATTTAAATGAAAAACAGTTGATTTGAATAACGTTTAATATTAGATACAATTTTATATGTTTCTAACCAAAAATTTACAATACAATAATAAATAAAAAAAAAATCCTTAAAAAATTGATAAAAAAAAATATTAAAAAATTTTTCAAAAAATTGTTTTTGAGTAACTTTTCAAAAGAAGAGTAATTTTATAGGTATATAATCAAAAATACGAGAAAAATTTGCTTCACAACTTTTATTACAGAATTGTCTGCCCTAATTTTCAACGATAATAATAACAAAGCAGCCGTTTTTGTACATAATATATAATGTATCTTTCTATTGATATCGCCTATAATAGGAAAAAAAAACACATTTAAAAGAAGAAAATATATAAAATATGATCTAGCAATAACAAAAATTGTATACTGGCTGCGCTGAATAGTAACGGTTGCGTCATATAAAAAAAATAATATAATAAATAATAATAATTTATTAATAACGTCGCTCATAGAAAACTAAATTAAAAAATTTTAATTTAAAAATTAATAAAAAATAAAACAACTTACAAAAATTGCAGAATGGATGCGATGAATAAGTTAAAACATATTATGATATTGTAAAATTATTGTAAAATTATTAAGTTAAAAACAATTGATTTCAATGACACTTAAAATTAGGCACAATATTATAGGTTCCTAACTAAAAATTTAAAAAACAACAATAAATAATAAGAAAAACCATAAAAAATTGGTAAAAATTGTTTATAAGTAACTTTTTAAAAATAGAGTAATTTTAAAGGTACATATCCAAAAATTCGTAAAAAATTGCATAAAATTGCAAAATAACTCTTTTTTGGGATGAAAATTTTCTTCTTTTAAATGTGTTTTTTCCTATTATAGGCGATATCAATAGTAAGATACATTATATATTATGTACAAAAACGGCTGCTTTGTTATTATTATCGTTGAAAACTAGGGCAGACAATTCTGTAATAAAAGTTGTGAAGCAAATTTTTCTCGTATTTTTGATTATATACCTATAAAATTACTCTTCTTTTAAAAAGTTACTCAAAAACAATTTTTTTAAAAATTTTTTAATATTTTTTTTATCAATTTTTTAAGGATTTTTTTTTATTTATTATTGTTTTGTAAATTTTTGGTTAGAAACATATTTCAATTAAAATTCAATTACTTTCAAAATCATTTAAAATTCAATTATTCCCAAAAATATCAATTCAAAATTAATTATTATCAAAATTTTTAATCCAAAATCAACTAAAATTAAGTTTTTATCCAAAATTTCAATTGAAATTCAATTATTTTAAAAAATTTAAATTCAAAATCATCTAAAATTAAATTATTTTCAAAATTATCAATTCAAAATTAACTAAAAGTCAATTATTCACAATAATTTCAATTCAAAATTAATTACAGTGAAACCCACTTATATGGGACCCGCATAATTCGGATTCCCGCTTACATCGGATTATTTTCCGGTCCCTTAAAATCTGATATACAGTATTATACTGTTTCACAGTATTATCAAAATTTTCAATTCAAAATTAACTTAAAATTAATTTAATATCAAAAATTTCAATTTAAAAGCTTCTAAAATTTAATTATTTCTAAAATTATTCTTCTAAAATTTTTTGAAGTTTATTAATTTCAATTATTTCTTTCCTGAAATTCAATTATTTTTAACTATTTTTATAATCTTCTTTAAAAATTCAACTATCTGTAACCATTTTTCAATTAAAAATGGTTTTGAAATTATTGTATTTTTGTCCGAAATTTGTTATAATTTTTTTAGTGAAATCATCAAAAATTTTTAATTAAAAATCACTGGAAGTTCAATTAATTTCAAAAATCTCAGTTGTAAATCTTTGAAAATTCAATTACTTTTAAAAAATATTTTTTCGTGCGAGGTAAATTCGTGCCTCTACTTTCTCATCTATTTTTAATGTCTAAATATTTTTTTAAAAATTTGATGATCATTTATGCTAATATCTTAAATAGAAAATTTGCTAAGATAGAGTCAATTGTTCATAGTGTAAAAATCTAACGTTTTTTAACGGTCATTTTCGGGCATCAAATTTTTTTTTTTAAATCCTGCGGCACTTGTCATCGGTAATATAGGTAAAATAAGGTTTAAGAGTAAAATGCTACCTTCAAATGAATTTTTTTTAGGTTCCCGTATTCTTACATCAGAATACGAGTTTGAGACCGATTCATTAAAAATTAAACAAATTATTAAACATTAATAATTTTGATAATAATTTTGATCACGAAGAAAACAATCAATACACATTTCACATATCACTCGTAAATCCCAAAGACACGAACAATTCTTCATCCATGAGAAAACCATATAACAACATTATAAAATATTTCTTTGCAAAACTATAAACTAATAGATTGAAAATATAAATATATAAAATATTTTTTCAGGCTTATGATCAAGTAGATGTTTACGAAACAACAGATTTACCTGAATCCGAACAATCGGCAGATCTTTCCAAGGTAATATTATTCTCACTTCATTATTTAATTTGTCATTATAAGTCTTTTGACTCGTGGATTCGCTCGGTGCATTGCCAAGATTCTTTATTTCTTAAGAAAAGAATTATCAAGTCTTGCCTTCTTGTTGAGTTTATTTCATTATTTATTAAATTTCAATTAAATTTAATTAAAATTTTTTTTATTTTTCTTAGTTAAGTTCTGGCATCTTCATTAAAAATTCTTCGACTTATCCTTATGATATTTTACTCTAAATGCAAACTCATAAAAAGTGCTGAATATTTAAATTTTTAAAAATTAAACTTTTCATGAGTTCTGCTTACCCTGTAAAATGGCTTGAATTAAAAAGAATAAAAACTACAAGCATATATCAAAAGATTTTGATTTATTTGAAAATAAATTTTTCAAGGTTAGTGTTTTTTCTGCTTATAGCTTTTAAAAAATATTAAATTTTTTAATACATTTTAATTTTTGATTGTGCAAGGTTTTTTAATTCTTTGATGAATTATAAAAGCAGTTTTTATTTAATGCTTTTTAATACTCTGTAGTAAAATGAAAAAAAAGTATTAAATGTTATTAAATTTGTAAATAATTTGTCATTAAAAAGTATTTGTAATTGTAGAAGTGTAGAAAGTGTAGTTGTCTGCTACTAAAAGTCTAGTAAATTCTTGGTAGATCTTGTTGTGGTGGTAGGGGTTTTCACTAAAGGAATTCTAAAAACCAAGATGTATAGTGGGGAGAAATATATATATATATATATGGAAAGTAAAGAATTGAATAAGGACGTTTACGGTGCAAGGGAGGGATACCCCAGTGCCGGCGCTGCTGAAGGTGAGCAAGTTGGCTTCCCAGCGTCGAAATCCAGTGATAACAGTGCTGCAGTATTGGATATCTTGGGTTCTGCAGCATTTAATGCCACAAGGAAGATGGACCATGGAGGATCCAGTATCTTAAGCTCCCCCATGTCCGTTTGGAAAGACTTGAAAGTAAAAGAGGAAGTGCTTCAAGCGTTTCTAATGTCAAGAGCGGAAGAAGTTTAATTCCGTCTGACCTAGACAACGAAGCCATAAACGAGGAACGCGAAATATGCGTCAGTTTTAGGAAGGAAGAATCTGGGTTCCTTCTAAGGATCGAAGAGGAGGTCGTCAAGATGATGAAATCTTGCGACATCCAGAAGACCGTTAATCGAACAATCAAGAATGGATTAAAGGTGCTTCAGTACCTTGTAAATTTGGCTAAGCAGAAGCACGCAGAAGCTTGACATTGCCCACACGAGAGTCTTGGTGGCAAGGCCCAATAAAAAGGGACTCCTCTTGATCAGGGTTGGAGGTGAGTCGGACATGGTAGCTTTTACCGCCGAGGTGATTAAGGCTGTTAGCAGCATGGGTAAGGTGCAGACGGTTGAACGGAAAGTTACACTCGGATCCGCGACCTGGATTTCCTTACCCATGAAACAAAGGTCCAGGAAGCGCTGGAACGAGAGCTCGAAAAGCCAGGAAGCAGGAAGGTGACGGTCTTAGGACCCAACAAGCGAGGGATGAAGCTCGCAGTTGTTGTCACCGACCAAGAAGAGGCTGCCAGACTGGAGGAATTGTGGCGCATAAAGATTGGCTTTATGTGCTGTCAAATAAGAAACAGAGTCATGGTCGTCCGATGTCACCAATGCCTGGGTTACGGACATCTAGCAAAAAGCTGTAATAAAGCCCTATTGAAAAAAAACACGTATAATTATACGTATAATAATATGTAAAATAATATGTATAATAATACGTATAATTATATGTATTATTATATGTATTATTATACGTATAATTATACGTATTATTATACGTATAATTATACGTATAATAAGACATACGAATTTGAAACAAGAATTATACGTATAATTATACGTATAATAATACGTATAATAATACGTATAATTTTTTTTTTTTTTTTTTTTCAATAGGGATATATTTTTGTTTATTAATATATACCTAAATATTATAAAATATAGACACGTATAATTATATGTATTATTATATGTATAATTATACGTATAATTATACGTATAATAATACGTATAATTATACGTATAATAATACATATAATAATACATATAATTATACGTATTATTATACGTATAATTATAATTCTATTAAAAATAGAATAATAGAATAGAATAATTAGTAGCAAAATTGCGCTGGAAATTTTTAGAAATTTTAAAATGCAAATTAAATTTCACGAAAAAAAATATCGTCGAATGTCAATTCAAGCAGTCACCCATCCAAGTACTAACCGCGTCCAACGTTGCTTAACTTCCGTGATCTGATGAGAACTTGTTCTTTCGCCTTGGTGTTTCCGCTGTCTTGTCTTGATTAATAACTTTGTCGTATAAGTATTGTATCGCACCTCACTTTTAGTGATACTTATACGACAAAGTTATTAATCAAGACAAGACAGCGGAAACACCAAGGCGAAGGAACAAGTTCTCATCAGATCACGGAAGTTAAGCAACGTTGGACGCGGTTAGTACTTGGATGGGTGACTGCTTGAATTGACATTAGACGATATTTTTTTTCGTGAAATTTAATTTGCATTTTAAAATTTCTAAAAATTTTCAGCGCAATTTTGCTACTAATTATTCTATTATTATTCTATTCTATTATTCTATTTTTAATAGAATTATAATTATACGTATAATAATACGTATAATTATACGTATTATTATACGTATAATTAATTATACGTATTATTATACGTATAATTATACGTATAATTCTTGTTTCAAATTCGTATGTCTTATTATACGTATAATTATACGTATAATTATGCGTATAATTATACGTATAATTATACGTATAATAATACGTATAATTACACGTATAATAATACGTATTATTATACGTACAATTATACGTGTTTTTTTTCAATAGGGAGCAGACAGATCGGCTGCGTGCTTTAACTGCGGGGTAGCCGATCATGCAGGGTTTTCAGGTCAGACCTCGAGGAAGCCAAAAAGACTCGCAAGAACCAATGCCAAGTAGGCCAGTAAGATTGGCAACGGTAAGCGTTGCGATAGCGAGATCCCAGGGACCTTCACCTACGAAGTTTAAAGCTTAACAGCAGTTCCATAGTGTGAGGATTAGTCCAGCCAAAGGGTGTGGTTTTTAGTGGGTCGATAAGAACAAGAACTTATGAGACTAATTTTTCCTTAGACTCTCATGTAAGCATAGGGTAATGGATAGCGTGTTAGATATAATTACTAATTTATGTTATTCGTATAACAAATTTTTATATTTTATTTTTTATTGGTCGGCAAAAATTTTAATGCCAAGGTTGGACCAACCTGGGCAGCCCTAGTTGGCCCGACTAATAAACTTTTGGTCGGCCAACCTTTGGCAGCCATAGTTGGGCCAACTGAGTCGACCATAGGTCGGTTGACGTTATTAATTCGCTAGTTGGCCCGACCTTTGGCTGTCAAAGATGGGCCGACAATCTTTGCCATAGTTGGCCCAACTATGGCTACCGACCGTCGCCCCAACAGTCGGCACAACTAGGGCAGCCACAGTTGTCCCGACTATATAAATATTTATGACATACATGCATTTCAAAGGTATTATAAATAAATTTTGTTTTATTTATCACAGCTTCTCATATTTAAACAAGGTAGCCCCTCTTGAAAATAACAAAATATTTGATTTAAATTCAAAATAATAGTAACTATAGTAATTAATATTTTCTATTTACATACACTGAAAAACAATTTATTTGATTCAAATACTCTATTATTGGACTAAATATTATCAAATAAATATTTATTTGTATTAAATAATTATTATTTGAGTTATTTAAATAGTATTTGTTTTAAGTACAGAAATTATTGGTTTAAATACAATTTATTTTATTCAAAAAAATTATTTGTTAAAAGAAACATTTATTTTATAACAAACAAGTAATAAAGTATTTGAATCAAATAAATTTTTTTCACTGTATCAGTGTGGATACACCCTTTGTGAATGGATTTGATAATTATTTTAATAAATCTTTCTATTAAAAATTGTTTGTGGGATGAACAAAACATCCATTCAAAGTTCATTTTCCATAAAAATTCCTGCAAGTTCTTACAAAGATTTCTTTGGAAACACATCTGAGGCAATTTTCTGACAATATATTGTGTACACCTGAGATATCCTCTTTCAAAGCATGTATTTTTCATTAAGTGTGTGTGTTACAATATTATTTTCAGTTCCAAAGAAATCTTTGTTGCAGAAATAGCAACCTTGGGTATTTGCCGTTGACAGTAGTTTTCGTGCAAAAACTACTTCATTGGCTTTATGGGTCGTAAAGCTGCATTGGCTCATTTTTAGGGACTGGTGGAGGATGTTCTTTTTCATCATTTTCGTATTGAAATCCATTATTGTCCTGATCCTCAAACTTCAAAAATGATGTAATAGCAGCTAACATTTTCGCTGAGTTAGATTTGCAATTCGCATCAACTGAATGTTTTGATGTTTGTTTGAATGATCTAAGTGTTTATAATAAATAAATATTCTATAAGCATTTAAATCCTTCGCTGTTTATTTGATTTTTAATCGTTTTTAAGCGACTTTAGCAAGGTGGTCCACTCATGGATACAAATTTTTTTTGTCAAAATAAATATCAATTTAAAAAAAATTTTTTAAATAATCGAATATTAGGAAATCTACAATAATTATAAGATTGATAGAAATAAGTAAATTTCATGTGATTTGAAATTGAAAATTTTGAAAATATTTTAATGAATGAAAAACCTAATACAAATGTAACGGGTTTAACATCCGTTCCTAGGACTAAATAAGTTTGTAAAGAATTTTAATTTGAAATTTTTAGAAAAAATTGATATTTCGAAGAGTTGCAATCAAAGTTTTTTTAAAAAAAGGAAATTTTTGTTAAATTTATGATAAAATTTGCAAAAAGTTTTAGTCAAATTTTTTTATAAATGTAATAATTACAGAATTTAATAGAAGTAATTCAATCGTTTGTGCATGAAGTACTTAAAATAGTTAACAAAATTTTAATAAGTTTTTCGAATACTGAAACAAGATTTCCTATTTTAGGATTAGCTTTTAAAATGTAACTACATCCTTTGGACATTTTAATTCGATTTCTGTCTATAAAAATATATCTAGTTTGGCATTCAAGTTAAAAATTTGAATTCTTAATAATGCAAGCCTTCTTACCTAGTGGGTAACCACAGAGTTGTTATGAATTTTATGACATAATTTTAAAAAAGAAACTTTATATTGCATATTTTGGTCATTGCGGTTGGTGAAGATTTTTGAGGTAATATTTAAATTTATTCTAATATGTTTTATTAGGAGGAGAGTGATTCTGTTGAAGTGCTACACTGTAATTCAAATGAAGCATTCAAGAAATTTAAAGGTAAATATGTTCTAAGCGAGAATGTTGACTTTTCGGACAGAGTATCTCAGAAGCTTAGAACAGGCTATAACGTTGGGTAAGCTATGGAATCAGTGTAACTTACTAGTTGTAATTTTTTATCAAATTTGTAAAAATGTTTTCAGTTTTATATTTATTTTAATTAAATACACTACCATCGAAAATTGTGCGATCTCTGCTTTTTCAACGACTATTAAACGGTATAAATCTACAAAAATATTCAAACTAAAATTTTTCCCTTTTTATTTTATAAAAGTTAATAAAATTCTGAAAGAAATGACACCTTGATAAAGAGAATATGTTAATTTTTCAATTAGATATCTAAGAAAAACCCAATTTTCAATGTTTTTTCTACTTTTTTTACTTCTGTCAAAAAATAATATTTTTAAATGTTCTTGGGCTTTTTGGAACGGTATTTTGTTATATAATTCAAATTATTAAAAACAATTCATGTCTACATTCTTCCCTAGCCAGGGCCGGATTTATATGTAAGCAAAATAAGCAGTTGCTTAGGGCCCCGGCTTGCCGTGGGTTCCCAAATTTTTTTAAAATCTAAATTTTTTTTCAAATGTTTTTTAATAAAAAATTAATGAATGTTTATAAACAAATTATAATTCTAACGAAATAAAATAACATATAATGTATTCCACACCAAAGTGAAAGTCCATCTGCAACTACGAATTTTTTTGAGATTTTTTTTCTATTAGTACTAATTGAGACTAACTTCCATGAATTTTTTCAAATTTTTTTAGCAAGCCGTTTTCGAGTTATAGAATTCTGAAAATTGGAGAATTTTCATGACTTATCTGAATGCTCATAACTTCCTTAAAAATGCATCAATTTTAAAAGTTTTTTTTCAAAATGTGTGTTTTAAACGTACTTTTAAAAAAAATCGAAATTTTTTTTAAACGATATTACTATCAAAATTTTTGAGTTTTAATGATGAAAAGTCATTTTTCTCATTTGACGTACTGATCGATTTTTTTCAAATTATTTTTCCCGATAATGGGCAAACAGTGTTTCTCAGTTAAATGCTTCTCGCTTTAAATCATCTTTAATGTAATAAATAAATTATTATTCTTACAACAACAATTAAATCATATGTTAAATTTAATAGATTTAATATGTTTCAGAAAATTTTGTGAATATTTAATTTAATTAAATTTGACATTTAATCAAGTATTAATTGATAAATTTTTTTAATGGAATTAATTATTATTGGTTAAAAGAACATTTGTTTTAATTTATTGTTAATAATGAATTTTCTTTTTCAAACATGTATTTTTCATAAATTAATTTTATATACATATAAACAGTAATAAATAATATATTAGGTACACGGAGAGAAAAAGCATGCGTTTTTAGTATGAAAGTGGTTCATACTAGGATAGTATGAACCGTTCCTACGTAAGAATTCATGCGTTTCTAGTATGAGAGTATTGCATAGTTTAACTGTATGCCGTACATAGTCCAGTTGTATGAGCTTCATACTCTCTCGGTATGATAGCTATACAACTGACGATTAAGCCACGCCTTCTTTCAGCTTGCTCATTTCCTATTGAGAGAGTATCTTGTGAATTTGTTCCTGATCCCCGCATAATTTATTATTATAAATTATTGTTATAATAATAATAATTATTATTATAAATTTGTGAAAATATATTATTTGGTGAAGTGACAAATTAAAAAAATAAAGAAGTGTTTCCTGCTACATTTACATTTTACATTTATTAATAATTTTTTATAATTTCATAAATATTAATAACAATACATAACATATTCATCTTAACTTCATCTTTGAAATATAATAAAAAATTATTTAAATAAATCAAAACTGAGCAAAGAATTGAAAGCGGGCAGGTGATTCAGAAATATGCAAACTGAAAGTGGGCGTGGCTTAATAGTCTGTTCTATGAGTATCATACTGAGAGAGTATGAAGCTCATACACTCGTAGTATGTTTGTATTACATACGTTTGGCGTATGGACTTCTTACTGCGAAACTATGAATGTCATACAGTATTCGCATGAGAAAGTTCCATACATTAAACGTATGCCTCTTCATACTAAAAACGCATGGTTTTTCTCTCCGTGTAGGCGTTTTAAAAATATATTTTAATAAAAATAGCGTTATTTATTTATGAGTTTACAAAATTTTCATTTTACTGTATTTAAAAATGAATAGTTTTAAATTTCAGAAAAAAGATTACATTTCGACATAAATTATTTTTATTTTTACATTTAAATTTTAAAATGAAATTATTCTATTAAGTTAATGTTACATGATAGAAGAAAATGTTATTTGTTTTAAATACAAAAATAAATCGGTATGAATACAGTTAATTTATTATAATAGTTAATAATTGGTTAAAATAAATAATCACTTAATTCAAATTCACAAAATTTTCTGAAACATATTAAATCTTTTAAATTTAACATATGATTTAATTGTTGTTATAAGAATACTAATTTACTTTTTATATTAACAATGATTTAAAGCAAGAAGCATTTAACTGAGAAACACTCACTTCCCCTATGCGCAGAGTCATTGAAGGGGGCACGTCGCGTTGTGTCGGATCTCCAAAAGGTTTAAGTGTGGAACGCGCATAACTGTCGGGTGCCTTTCTCCTACTTTTTGCGTGCGCATCAAAAACCAGCGCCGTATAAAAACGTTTTTAAATATGGGCATTAATAAAATAAAAAAAATGTTTTTAATTATAAATTTGAAGTAGGTAAATTTAATTTTAATCTAATTATATATTAAATTATTATTTAATCTTTTATATCCGAGAAGAATTATACATTATAGATTAATAAGCATTGGAAGACATCGTGATACGGCACTGTCTGCCGCCCCACCACAACTCAAGGGGCAATCCGACACTTACCGAAATTGTACTGTATTTTCACGCGTAGATTACAGGAAAAATATAGAAAGATCGATTAAATTTGATGGCTACGAGCTAGAAAGGAAAGAGATCGGTTTTTTTTCGAAAATATTGCATCAAATGACCCTGTCCAGTTATTTATAATTTATTTCTATTCAAAAAAGAGGTTATTGTTGTCGGTGTATGGGACCCTCCAATTAGTGCGAGTGCAACTCACACTTGTCCGATTTTTGGAATTTTCCTTGACAACATTAACATTTTAATCATATAAAGATAATTAAATCACAAATTATAATTAATAATTGAAATTTTAGTAATTCCTTAGACTGAAAAATATAAATTTTATATAAAGAAATGTTTGTTTACTTTAATTTCTAATTGGTAAAGTTTTAAATCAGTTCTTTTATTGTATATCTGCTTTATGAATAAAAATATTATAATAAAAATATTAAAATAGTAATTATTATTTATAATTTATAATTAATACAATTAACTTTTGTAATAATTTTGTTTATATAAATTATTTTTACTATTAATTATTGAAAATCGAAATAAAATACTGAAATGAACAAAATTGTTAACCCTTTCATTTAAGTTAGTAAATTATTATTTTTTCAAACAAAATGAGATTATAGAGGATACAATATATAAACGAAAAAAAGTAACACAACAGAAATGAACTTTAAAAATCTAACTTCATCCTCATCTTGCGTCCTCCTTCCCAATCTTCTGCATTGTTAAACGCAATTGGGAAGAGGCCTTGAACGCTGTCTTCGCTCAAGTTGAATTTTTCCATCAGTACATCTGGAATAATTAAAAAAATTCGAAATTTTAATAAATAAATAAATATCGATTAAATTTTAATAAAATAAAATGTTATATGTTTATATAATTACTTATTAGAATTATTTTTTTAATGATAAAATTAAAAAGTTTCAACAATTTGTAATTTAAAAAATGTTAAATACTTCCCTGCTAAAAATAAAATCACAAAACGTCAAAAAATTAGTCAGGATCTCTGACGTTTTGAGACTGTTTTTGTTACGATTGCAGTCACAGAACACCACAATAAGTGAGGTTTAGTCAAAGAATCGTCAATAGTAGTCAGATTTTTTATGAGGGTCGGAGACCCTTTTTTTTGCCATACCATAAATCATTAAACCCTGTGACTATTTGTGATGTTAAATGACATTTCTTTCTATAAAATAGTTTTGAAGATTCCTGACTTACTTCTCATGAATTCTGACTACAAATATTTAAAAATTAAAAAAAATCAATATTTTATCATTAAAAAAATAAATTATCGTACAACATTTTTTTATCTTTACGTTACACATTCTTAATTATTATTTTTACAATTTATTATATTTATTTACTCCTATCGAAGAAAATCTCGCAAACGCAGGGAATCGAACTCACAACCTAACGAACGCAAACCGAATACCTAACCCCTGAGCTAAACTAACCTAACTGAGATCTTAAAAATAGAATACGGTTTTATGAAAATAGAAGATCTTATTACTTTTTTTCAATTTTATCAACATATTTTGTTGATAATTATTATTATTATTTTTAAAAAATTTTATAATTTTTAAAAATTAACAAGTAAAGTTAAAATAGTAATAGGTATATTGTTATATTGATCAAAAAACATTTGTAGTCCAATTATCATATATTAATGTATTCAATTAATAAAATTTGCTTCAGCAAATATTTAATTAAACAAAAAATTCGTATGTAAATATTATTTGAATTCGAACTTAAAAGAATATGTGTAATATACAAATAAAATAGTCTAGAATAATAAGATACTGCCGGATTGTCTCAAGTAAACTCTGAGCGAATTTTATCAGGTTTTTCGCTCACGTTTTAGCACATTCATCACTATTATAATTAATTATAATGATAAGAATTAATTAATATGCATATATTAATTACTATATTATTAAAATTCAATTTAACATAATTCTTCCACAAATCAACTAAATAATTACTAATTTTAATTTCTCTTTTAGCATACTGCACTATAATTAGATGTAATATTTGGTTCAAATCAAATTTATATTTAGTGGAAACTGGATCAAATTCGCTCAGAGATTGATTGAGCGATCAATTCATATATTCTATTTTACAAGAGACCAGAATGTTTTTGCTCATCTATAGTTGTAAAAAAATAAACTTTTATGTGAAATAGCCAGCGATTTCTAATTTTTTTCAAATATATATATATATAGAGTTAACACAATGGTAAGAATAGGTTTTCAACATATGTTGCTTTCTTATAACTAAATGTAAGGAAACTAGCTTACTGTAAAATAATAAATACAAATTTGAAGTAGGGACTTTAAAAGTATAGTCGTAGTCATTGACGCCTTCCCTTTTCTGTCCTTGTCTTACAAACTTGATTCCATATATATTATATGTACGTTAGAAAAGGACAAAAAGAAAAGTATAGGCCAGAAGGATCTTTTATGGTTTTATGGCTTTTCATTGCAAAATTAAAAATTGTTGCATTTGAAAAAAATGATTTTTAAATATTATATTCGTAATGTACATGTTAATACAATTACAACGATATAAAATTTTTTGCAAATATTTTTAAATTATTGAGAATTAATTTTAATTAATGGAGTATTTATTGTATAATCATTATGTAATTTTAGAGTTTTTACATAATGTTTTATATCATTGGAATCGTTAAAATCTATAAATTACAAATATAACATTTAAAAAAATATTTATTTAAATTTAAATAATTTTTTATTTTGCATTAAAATGTCATAAAACCTGATGGACCCTCGAAAGGACCCTTCTGTTGGAAAAAGGGAATATATAATATAATAGAGTTATATGGTGGGTTTGAGTGGCCTTGGTACCTCTCTTGGAACCCTTTTTATAAAAAAAATAAAACGTAGTGAGAAATCGTCACTTTTTAGAAAACGTCAGGCCCATAAAAACTATTTAAGTCAGAATTAGTCAGCAGCATCACAGAACATCAAAATAGTCTCAAAACGTCAGGATTTCTGACGTTTTGAGACTGATTTCTGATTTTATTTTTAGCAGGGTTAAGCAATATTAATTTCAGAAATATAATACAAATTTAAAGCTTTTTGAAATATTTTATTTAAAAATTAAATAATTTTGTTTCGTTTAAAAATAACTTTTTGCAACATTTCAAAAGGTATCATTAACCTAAAGAGAAATAATTTCAAGAAACATGTTTTAAAAAATAAATAATTTTTTGCAGTCATAGAAATGGGCCGCATAGATAATTTTGGTGTAATTTAACTTTGCAACATGATATTTAGATAAAGAAAAATTATAGAAGTTTCTAAAATTAATTGTTAGAAAATCTTAATTAAAAATATTTACTTACTTTCTTTAGTGTTTTGCATTAAATTTTTAAGTCCTTTTATAAATCGATATCTCCTCACTCTTTTTGTACTTTTTTCCTTTGCCATTTTATTGTAACACATTTTTTTGTTTTTAAACATTCAGGAAAGACATTCACTGACAATCTGACATTTATTTTTATTACTTGAATGTGGTCATTAAAAAAAGAAATACCAAAGACTTCATTTATTACTTTTATTTAAAAATGTTTTTTGTAATCTAGGGCTCTATCAGGTCCCGGTAAATCCCCGATCAGACTATAATGATTCAACCCTTATCAGGGCCAGATAGCAAATAGGATTTAACTAGATCAATTTCTACACGGGTATGTGTACCAAATTTCAGCCCTCTAGATAATTTCGTGAGGCCGCTAGGGGGGGGGGGGTACATGGCTTGCTTCACTAGTCTCATTAATAGAGTTCCCCCTTTGGGTACGAAACCCTAAAAAACCAAAAATATTTTTTAAAAAATTAAAAACTCAAAAATTTTTGAAAAATTCCGAATATATTGTAAAAATCGTTTGCCTATTATCGGGCTACGCTTAAAAGTTTCGTAAAAAGTAGTTTTCTTTTAAATTTGAAAAAATCGATCAAAACGTCAAATGAGAAAAATAACTTTTTATCATTAAAACTCAAAAATTTGATAGTAATATCGTTTAAAAAAAATTTCGATTTTTTTTTGAAAAGTAAGTATAAAAACACACATTTTGAAAAAAAGACCTTTAAAATTGATGCATTTTTAAGGAAGTTATGAGCATTTAAAAATTAAAAGTCATTAAAATTCTCCAATTTTAAAAATTCCATAACTCGAAAACGGCTTGCTAAAAAAATTTGAAAAAATTCATGGAAGCTAGTCTCAATTAGTAATAAAAGAAAAAAAATCGGAAATGCAATTGCAGATGGACTTTCACTTAAGGTCCCTTTTTCGGTAACTCCTGTCTAATGCTTAGGGCCCCCGCGGGTCTAAATTCGGCCCTATCCCTAGCTTAAGCAAACCGTGAAAGTGAAATTTACTTACATAAATCAGAGAATTTTAATATGATCTATTTACTTGATTTGTAAACATGATAGTTTGTTGTAAACATGAATTTTAATTTTTTAACTTTTTTTGAGCCAAATTTCACGGTTTGCATACGCTAGGGAAGAATTTGAATTGAATAATAAAATAATAATAATAATAATACAGTATAACAGAATTTATCACTCGGTAAAATATTAATACATATATAGGAATATATCAATCCTCCAAGTCAAATAAATAAATTTAAAATCCTTTTTTAACGTATCGACGGTACAACCGCCCTCTTCAGAAACTGAAAATTTTTTTATTATAAAACTTAAATACAAATCATTATTTTACATTTTTCTTTTTGTACGGTTAATTAAAATATAAAAGTATAAAAATTATTTACCGTAAAAACGAGTGTCAGAAAGAATTTGATTACGTGACATTACATCGACGTCAACTGACAAACTAACTGGGAAACAACAGTCTTAGACGAAAAAGAAAACAGGTGTACATTTTTAGGTCAATGAACCCATGGTAGGTGTATATAAAATAATAACATTTTGATACATTTGATAGTGAAGACTAGTTTCTGAAATTGATTCAATATTTCCATTTAAATTATTTAGTAAGAAATATAACTAAAAATTAAAAAAAAATTTATTTATATGAATAAACAAAATTTTCCCCTTATAACAACTTTTTTTCAAATTTTTTTTGAAAAGAAATTAATATAATTTTTATTTAAATTTTTAATATCTTCTTTTTTGTTTAGTGGTTTCTTTTGTAAACCAATATGTATCATTTCAGAAATTAGTCTTTTTCGCCAAACTGGTTCATTGTCTAAAATCGATATGTCATTCCAATCAAATTCATGATTTCGTACTTGTCTATGTAGAGCTATGACATTTGTTTTTGATTTTTTATGTTCCTCAATTCTCACTCCAAGCATTCTTTTTGACTCTCCCACATAACTCGCAAGACAATCCTTACATTTTAATTTATATACGCAATTTGTTTTTTTAATTTTTTTGGTTACGTCTTTACCTATTTTTACATAACTGTTGTTATTGTTTATTTTCGGAATCGTTAAAATATTTAGATCTTGTAATAAATTAGATGTTTTGTAAAAAATATCTTCCGAAAAAGGTAAAACAATTTTTTTAGCACGACGATACTGTGTTTCCATGCTAGGTTTATTTTGGTTTGCATTAATAACATGGAGTCGTTTCTTAATATGTTTCTTAACAAAGTTAAGGGGATAGCCATTTTCTAACAATAATCTTTTAACAATCTCAATATTTTTATCATGGAAAATGACATTGGAAAGTTTAATTGCCCTATCAATTAAATTATAAACAATAGCAATTTTTTGTGAAATCGGGTGATGAGATCGAAAGTTTAAGAAGCGTCCTGAAAATGTAGGTTTAGTACAAACCACTAAAACAAAAAAGAAGATATTAAAAATTTAAATAAAAATTATATTAATTTCTTTTCTAAAAATTTGAAAAAAAGTTGTTATAAGGGGAAAATTTTGTTTATTCATATAAATAAAATTTTTTTTAATTTTTAGTTATATTTCTTACTAAATAATTTAAATGGAAATATTGAATCAATTTCAGAAACTAGTCTTCACTATCAAATGTATCAAAATGTTATTATTTTATATACACCTACCATGGGTTCATTGACCTAAAAATGTACACCTGTTTTCTTTTTCGTCTAAGACTGTTGTATCCCAGTTAGTTTGTCAGTTGACGTCGTTGTAATGTCACGTAATCAAATTCTTTCTGACACTCGTTTTTACGGTAAATAATTTTTATACTTTTATATTTTAATTAACCGTACAAAAAGAAAAATGTAAAATAATGATTTGTATTTAAGTTTTATAATAAAAAAATTTTCAGTTTCTGAAGAGGGCGGTTGTACCGTCAAAACGTTAAAAAAGGATTTTAAATTTATTTATTTGACTTTGAGGATTGATATATTCCTATATATGTATGTAATAATAATAATAATTCCAATGATCCCATGAACGTTGAAAAATATTAATTTTTGACAGAGAAACAAAAAAAATATTTAAAAAATTGAAAATTGTGTTTTTCTTTGATATCTAATTGAATTTTATTAGTTTTTATAAAATGAAAGGAGAAAAATTTTAGTTTTAATATTTTTGAAGATTTAAACCGTGTTATAGTCATCGAAAAACCAGAGTTCTGAAATAATTTATATTTATACTTTAAAAATCACACAGAATAGAAAGGAATAGAATAACAAGAATATTTTTTCAAAATTGATATAAATAAAATTTAAAATAATTAAAGTTTAGTTATTAAAGCTAATTACTGCTTACTTTGTTTTAGATATGGTGAATGGCAAGCTCTTGGCGAAAAAGAAACGCCGTGGAAAAAATTTGAAAGATTGCAAGAAGAAATTAAAGAACTAACGGATGAAATAAATGAATTAAAGGTACTTAAAAAGACAGGAGACGTATTATATTTAGTTTTTATATATAATACATACAGTACCGTCGGAAATTGTCGGTACGATTGACGTGCGCGGGATGAAATGTTGATGTCGCACTTAAATTAAGATATTTTAAGTTTGAGAAAAGCTAGAGACTTGAAACTTAGATCACCTGAAAGCTGATAAAATTCTGCTTCTGAATATATACCTATAATTTTTTTTGATTTTCTGGAGCGATTATAACACTGGAAAGATTTCGAAAAAAACGTCTAATTTTCCCAATTTCGTACCCAGTTTTTGATTCCCTGCATAATCTAGGAAAATGCAAGGAAAAATTTGTAACTCCTACAACATAATCTTTAAGATCTTAGCTTTAAAAGTAATTTTTAAGACTTAAAAAATATTGTTTCGTTTTTGAGATAAGTTGAAAAATGTTAGAGCATGTTTTTACACAACTCAGCGTCAAAGATTAGTTCTTGCATCCTCGCTGCTTCTCCCGTTCCTTGCGCCAGGGCCGAATATGCGTTTGGGGCCCCTGCTTGAAACCCGTCTTGTATTTTCTTATATTGACAGTTATTGATTATTATAAATGTTATAAATATTTTATTATTATTAATATTAATTATTATTATATATTATATTATATTATACAATATATAATTTAGTGTACATAAGAAAGTTCTTTTTTTCAGAAAATGCACTTTCTGCCCTTTTAATCCAGACTAATTTTTGTATCTACATTCAAACTTTTCGTTAAATTTTACTTATAATATTGTCAATAGCTTGAAAAGTTTTGGAATCTTATGTTAAATATGAGAATAATATTTCGACAATTTCTAATAAGCAAAGAAAAACAATGATTCATTGAATTTTGCAAACAAAAGCTTATAGAATCTATTGATAAATTAGACAGTACTTGTTCAAACTTCACACTTGAAAGTTCTATTTTAAAATAAATTTAATGCAAAATTTGTGAGAGTGACTTTTGTTCTAAATACATATTAATATTATTGTGAAGGCCTTAATTTTGTGTCAGTGATTTTTAATTTTAAAAAATTTAAGAATCATTATCACGCAGGTTTAAAAAAAATAAAAATTCATGAGTTTTTCTTCAAAATTAATTACAAATTTTAAACAAAAAATTTTAAAGTTCTGAAAAAGAAGAACATTTTTCCAAATTGGTAAATTGTAAGTACAATATTAAAAAGTATTTGTTAAACTTTTAATTAACTAATAATAATAACATTTTTTAAATAAATTAATTAATATTCTAATAATCAATAACTGTAAATATAAGAAAATACAAGACGGGTTTCAAGCAGAGGCCCGCACGCATATTCGGCCCTGGCGCAAGGAACGGGAGAAGTAGCGAGGATGCAAGAACTAATCTTTGACGCTGAGTTGTGTAAAAACATGCTCTGACATTTTTCAACTTATCTCAAAGACGAAACAATATTTTTTAAGTCTTAAAAATTACTTTTAAAGCTAAGATCTTAAAGATTATGTTGTAGGAGTTACAAATTTTTCCTTGCATTTTCCTAGATTATGCAGGGAATCAAAAACTGGGTACGAAATTGGGAAAATTAGACGTTTTTTTTCGAAATCTTTCCAGTGTTATAATCGCTCCAGAAAATCAAAAAAAAATTATAGGTATATATTCAGAAGCAGAATTTTATCAGCTTTCAGGTGATCTAAGTTTCAAGTCTCTAGCTTTTCTCAAACTTAAAATATCTTAATTTAAGTGCGACATCAACATTTCATCTCGCGCACGTCAATCGTACCGACAATTTCCGACGGTACTGTAAATATATCCTTTTAGGCATTAAAAATAATTATATTTAGTCTTGTTTTAAATTAAATTCAACATAGTGTTGTAGATATTGCTGGCTTAATTATAAATATATAAACATTACAGGAAAAGCCTAAAGACGATACAGAATTAAAATTTGCTGTAGATATTATGGTTCAACTTGAAAATGTTGGAAAACAATTAGATGATTTAAAACTGCATGAAACACTTGGCAATGAATTGGACTTTTTATCAGATACACAAGGCTCTTGTTTTAAGTAATTATTACAAAAATTATTACTCATACAATTTATATATTATATATGAAACTGATGAATGAATTTTTTTTTAATGTGCGATGTTTAAATTTAGGCAATTGGTATCACAAATAGAATTGTTTAAACAATTAAAGGATATCAATAATATCAATAAATGCAGTGATACAACTTTAGATATAGAAAAAGATAAATGCGGAATGCTTAAATATCAGATGATGTATCTTCCTGAGAAAGCTAAATTACAAGAAATGGCACGCATTGGACAACTTGAACAAAGACTTGGTTATTTAGAAAATATTCTTGGTACTAAAAACACAAAGCTGTCCACATTTCCTCAGGTAAGTTTAGAATTTTAAATTAAATTATTGTATTTATCATTTTACTTGTTTATGAATAAATTACACGGGAATTTTGTCACATAAAAATTGGTCATGAAATTTTGATAATTTTACAGTTACTCAAATGCCAAGGGGTTTTGGAATCTATTCATCAATTGGGAGCAAAATCTGCTCTTTTGGATAGTTCACAACTGGATGTAGTTGAAAGTAGAATTTCTACTTTAATATCTAAAATGGACTCTATAGCACAAAGAAAATCGGTCGCAGGACAAGATTCTAACAGAGAACAAAAGGTTAATTTATATCTTCTTCAAAATATCAAAAATGTTAAACATTTTCATTCACCATATTGGTCTCCATTTTTGATATGTTATCTGGAATTTATAAAAAACCTTTCGCACTATTATCATGTTTGAACTTTTTTGACACGATATTTAAAGGTTTTAAGCATTTCTTGATACCTATTAACTTCCAATAAAAAATTTATTAAAAAATTTTTTTTTAAATAGCATTTTTTTCAAAAACATGGCTATATCTTTTTTAAAATTTTTATATTAAATTTTTTTTCAATTTCAATTGCGGATTCTGAAAGCGTCCCATAAAAAAAGTTTAAAAATTAAAAATAAACTTTAATTTTTAAATAAATAAAATTAAAAAAATTTTAATTTATTTTTTTTGAACTTTAATATTTTCCAAACAAAAAACGTTAAAGAAACTTTTTTCTAGGACTAAAAGTGGAAAATTTGTGAGTAATTGAAAAAAAGTAATAATTTTTTTAATGCAAATATCTCGAAAAATAATTAATATTTTTTTCTCAAAAATTTAAATGCTCACTTAGACTCCTTACCCCTACCCGAAAACGTAGTATGGAAGAAATCGGAGAGTAGACCCCTCAATCTCATATGGAATTACTCAAATATTCTAGAAAATTTTTAAATTTAAAAGTTTTTTTTGTTTAAACTTAAATAATAAATAAATTTCAATAAAGAATAAATAAAGATTTTTCAATAAAGATAAATTTACTCGCGTGTTTTATATTCGAGTAAAATTTAAATAAAAATATTCATTTGTTTCAGATAACTGAAATGTATGACATTGTAAAGAAAGTAGAAGCTGTATCATCCATTTTGCCGCAAACACTAAATCGTATGATAACATTAAATTCAATTCATCAACAAGGTAATTTAAAAAATATATATTCTTTATAAATAATTCTGTGTTACAACAAAAGTTAAAGATTTTTTTTTTATTTTGAAGAAGGCTTTTCACCTCTAATAAAAGTTTTTGTTATTATTAAATTGTACTACAGCAGCTAAGTTGTAAAAAACATAAAAATGTCATTTTTTGAATTATAATTTTTAGAATACTTCATTTGTATAATATTTGGAAAATTCGTTTTCTTATGAGTTTATTTTTTTTTCAGCTGCCGAATTTAGTAAATCACTAGGACAACTAGAAGAGTTGCAGAATCAAATATTTTTAGGACTTCAAAATAATAAAATTTTCTTGAAAGGAGTACAAGATAGTTTTACAACGAATTTAAATATTATACAAAATAACATAACAGCGTTAGATCAACGTATAAATAATCTTTACAAATAATTTGTGCATCACTAATGTAAATTTAAAAAATATATATATATTTAAGACAGTCGCTTATGAAAATCTTAAAATTTTTAATACTTTTAATTCGTTTCATAAGATTAAAAGTTTATTTTTTGGGTCAGACTTTGCCAAATGAATCTGCTAAAATTAGAAATGTTTTTTTCAATATGGCTATCAAACCTTAGATTAGAAGTGTAATGATCTATATTTTAATTGCCAAAGGATTCGCTCGCCAGATGGGGACCGAGTCCTTGTGTTCACTTAATTCTTACTTGTGGCGTGAAGCGCCATCTATTTGTCTTCATTTGCGTACTATGATCTAGAGGAGAGGTATAGTCAATAACGAGTCTTAGTTTAAACCTTCGAAAGAAAGATATATTAAAAATAAAGATATAGAAGTTAAATAATGAATACAAAATATAAGATAATATAAAACAATGAGTAATAAAACAATGACTCGATACAATGCAAAATAACTTGTGGTTGAGTGAGTCAACCTGATCTTTTGAGTTGCTCGACGGCACCGCCCTCTATGTGATTGTTTTGTCCAGTTACTTGTCTGAAATTAAACAAAGGTACCTTTAATATTCGCTATCGCGTTCACCAGGAATCCCGTAATTTATCCATAATGTAAGTTAAGCTATCACGGCAAACGAAAACTAGAACGTGCACTCTGAGATAATCGTCTCCAGGGAAAACTAGAAGGGAAACGATTGGGTTGAAGAATCAGGTATGTACCTGATACTCTTGCCTGACGTGAACTAGGAACATTAAGGTACGTCTCTGGGAAATATCTTAGACCAGGGGGAACCCTGAGTTAAAGATACGGCCCTGAGCTTCGCATCCAGGTGATAGAGATTGACCCTCTACTCACCTGGGGCGGTGAACGAGAAAGGAAAACTACATTATATTTATATGTTGTACCCAATAGTTGTACAAATATTTGTTTAATTAATTGAATTAATATAATTAGTTTAATTATATTTTAATTAAATTATTTAGTTTATTGAATAATCAAAATAAATAAACAAATAATCATTTAATTTACTTATTTAATATCCAACTACTGGACCTTATCATGTACATGTACAACTACTTTTGCAAGTACCGTGTCCAACATTTGCTGCAAATGAGCAATTTCATTATTTTAATTTAATTAAAACATTGTTACGTAATGTAACATAAATAATATTTTATAAATTTTTCCCTGCTAAAAATAAAATCAGAAATCAGTCTCAAAACGTCAGAAATCCTGACGTTTTGAGACTATTTTGATGTTCTGTGATGCTGCTGACTAATTCTGACTTAAATAGTTTTTATGGGCCTGACGTTTTCTAAAAAGTGACGATTTCTCACTACGTTTTATTTTTTTTTGTAAAAAGGGTTCCAAGAGAGGTACCAAGGCCACTCAAACCCACCATATAACTCTATTATATTATATATTCCCTTTTTCCAACAGAAGGGTCCTTACGAGGGTCCATCAGGTTTTATGACTTTTTAATGCAAAATAAAAAATTATTTAAATTTAAATAAATATTTTTTTAAATGTTATATTTGTAATTTATAGATTTTAACGATTCCAATGATATAAAACATTATGTAACAACTCTAAAATTACATAATGATTATACAATAAATACTCCATTAATTAAAATTAATTCTCAATAATTTAAAAATATTTGCAAAAAATTTTATATCGTTGTAATTGTATTAACATGTACATTACGAATATAATATTTAAAAATCATTTTTTTCAAATGCAACAATTTTTATAATATAAGAAGATGATATCGATCATTCCGAGTCAAGGATTAAATAAAAGATAAAAACATTATTCTTTACGTTTCAATGGCACAGCCATCCTCTTCAGAAACTTAAAAAAAATGAAAACATTATTCAAAAAAAAAACTTTTTTTGACTAAGTAAATTTAAAAGTGATTAAACGTCTCAATTGACACGATTGCTAATAGATGTCTATTAGACATATTGCTAGATTGTCTATTAGCAATGGTGTCAATTGAGACGTTTAATCACTTTTAAATTTACTTAGTCAAAAAAAGTTTTTTTTTTGAATAATGTTTTCATTTTTTTTAGTTTCTGAAGAGGATGGCTGTGCCATTGAAACGTAAAGAATAATGTTTTTATCTTTTATTTAATCCTTGACTCGGAATGATCGATATCATCTTCTTATATTATTAAATACTACCGAGTGAGAGAATCAAAATTTTATTATTGCAACAATTTTTAATTTTGCAATGAAAAGCCATAAAACCATAAAAGATCCTTCTGGCCTATACTTTTCTTTTTGTCCTTTTCTAACGTACATATAATATATATGGAATCACGTTTGTAAGACAAGGACAGAAAAGGGAAGGCTTCAATGACTACGACTATACTTTTAAAGTCTCTACTTCAAATTTGTATTTATTATTTTACAGTAAGCTAGTTTCCTTACATTTAGTTATAAGAAAGCAACATATGTTGAAAACCTATTCTTACCATTGTGTTAACTCTATATATATATATATATATATATATTTGAAAAAAATTAGAAATCGCTGGCTATTTCACATAAAAGTTTATTTTTTTACAACTAGATGAGCAAAAACATTCCGGTCTCTTGTAAAATAGAATATATGAATTGATCGCTCAATCAATCTCTGAGCGAATTTGATCCAGTTTTCACTAAATGTAAATTTGATTTGAACTAAATATTACATCTAATTATAGTGCAGTATGCTAAAAAGAGAAATTAAAATTAGTAATTATTTAGTTGATTTGTGGAAGAATTATGTTAAATTGAATTTTAATAATATAGTAATTAATATATGCATATTAATTAATTCTTATCATTATAATTAATTATAATAGTAATGAATGTGCTAAAACGTGAGCGAAAAACCTGATAAAATTCGCTCAGAGTTTACTTGAGACAATCCGACAGTATCTTATTATTCTAGACTATTTTATTTGTATATTACACATATTCTTTTAAGTTCGAATTCAAATAATATTTACATACGAATTTTTTGTTTAATTAAATATTTGCTGAAGCAAATTTTATTAATTGAATACATTAATATATGATAATTGGACTACAAATGTTTTTTGATCAATATAACAGTATACCTATTTTAACTTTACTTGTTAATTTTTAAAAATTATAAAATTTTTTTAAAATAATAATAATAATTATCAACAAAATATGTTGATAAAATTGAAAAAAAGTAATAAGATCTTCTATTTTCATAAAACCGTATTCTATTTTTAAGATCTCAGTTAGGTTAGTTTAGCTCAGGGGTTAGGTATTCGGTTTGCGTTCGTTAGGTTGTGAGTTCGATTCCCTGCGTTTGCGAGATTTTCTTCGATAGGAGTAAATAAATATAATAAATTGTAAAAATAATAATTAAGAATGTGTAACGTAAAGATAAAAAAATGTTGTACGATAATTTATTTTTTTAATGATAAAATATTGATTTTTTTTAATTTTTAAATATTTGTAGTCAGAATTCATGAGAAGTAAGTCAGGAATCTTCAAAACTATTTTATAGAAAGAAATGTCATTTAAAATCACAAATAGTCACAGGGTTTAATGATTTATGGTATGGCAAAAAAAAGGGTCTCCGACCCTCATAAAAAATCTGACTACTATTGACGATTCTTTGACTAAACCTCACTTATTGTGGTGTTCTGTGACTGCAATCGTAACAAAAACAGTCTCAAAACGTCAGAGATCCTGACTAATTTTTTGACGTTTTGTGATTTTATTTTTAGCAGGGTTGTAACAAATAATAATAATTTAATATTTATATTTTCAATTAAAATTATAGTTATAAAAATTTTATTACAATTTTGAGCCTGGATTCTCATCCAATAGTTTGGGAATTGATTTTGATTATTTTATTTCTATTGAATTTTCTTATAGATAATTGAAAAATTAAGGAAATACATAATATAAGGAGTAAAATTTGTTAGTCATAACTATATAAAGTGACGTTAACAAATTTTGGAATCACAGGTAAAATTATAAAATTTTAAAGAATAACCGCCAGCTTTAATACTGCAGTATTCTTTGGAATTGGGAAATTGTGAAAGATTTTTAGAAAGTGAAAAAAGTTTTCAAAAAGAAATAAAGAAAAGATAGTAATTATAATTTTAAAACTTACTTTTTTATTTATCAAAGATAATTTTCCCTGAAGATGCAAAATATATTCGATTAATCGTCCTTCCTTGATAATTTCTGATTCGGTAATAATTGTAGAAAAATCACTAAACTTTTAAAACTTGAAAATATAAAATTTGAATAAATTTAGAATTTGGAATAAATGAATAACTTTTTAGAATTTTCATTTGAATTAGTGTATGTGAAGTTGAATGTGGAAAATGACTTTTGAATGACTCTTTTGAGTTTGTATGTAGAAATTTGAATGTTGAAATAACTTTTTGAATGACTGTAAAAAATTTTTAAGAATAATTGAGCGTCTACATGCAATAATTGGTCGAGCGCTCGGCTGAACGCTGTAATGCCAGTCAGACGGGTCAAAAAGTAAAAAAAAAAGAAAATGAAACTTTTGATTTTTAAAAAATAGTACCATGCAGAAAATGAAGAGACGCATCTTTTTTTCCTTTGAGATTTTTTTATAGGACGAAAATTTAATTTAATAAATCCAAAAAACTGAAAAATTTTTTTTCACTATTTTCATTATATTTTTAAACATAAATCGTCGTAACTTCCACAAATATTAATGAAATCGATTAAAATTCGGTATACAAACGCATTAGGGTCTAGAGAATACGATAAATTAATAAAAAAATTTATAATCATTAATTATTCAATAAATTATTATTATTATTAATCGTGTCGATAATCACGATTTCTTACCTTCGCCGAGAAAAAGTCTGTGAGGAACTTTCGAGTTGAAAGAACTTCCAGTGAGACATTTGTTTATTAATATATAAAGAAGTTTTTTGGAAATTTTCGAGTCAATTCATTCACAACTTTCAAAAATATGTGTTTTTTGAAAAAGCGGGTGGCGCGCTAGCGAGTCG